TTTTTTTTTTTTTTTTTTTTTTTTTTTCCCTCTCTTAATCCTCAATTTAGTCCTCTGTGTTTCTGATTGGCTGCTGAGAAAATGGTGGAAAAGGGAAAGGAAAGTGGCGAGAAAATTTTCATGTCTGTTGGGTTTTGTGTGTCTTAATTCCTGTTCTATCTTCCAAATTGGGAATTCCAGAAACATAGAACCAACCCAGTTTCTGATTTAGAAGTGCTTTTTCTTGTATAAAGTTTTAACTAAGGATGGTTATCTAAGAAATGGAAGCTCTCAAGGAAACTATGGCTTATATGGAATGACAAATCTTTACAAGTTGTAAGCCATTTGGGCTCTCTATTGGAAGAACAAGACTTTCCCATGAACAAGAATCAGGTGGCTGTCTGGGGATTTCTAGTCATTAACAAGGAAAACCATCAGTCAGAACTGTGTTCTTTTGAGTCCAAGCTCACCGTCAGCAGATATTGTTCTCCTTCGGCTTTTCCTTGCGAGTTCTCTCTCAAGGTTTTTAAAATGTGTCTACTAGGAGAGGTTTCCACACCCTTATAACGAATGTTTCGTTCTCCTTCCTAATCGATGCAGGGTCTCACAGTCCACCTCTTTCGGGAAGAGGCTCGAACAAAGCCTAATTTTCTTGACTAAGAACATGACGCTTGGGACTATTGATCTGTCATATAAGTATTCTAAGCTAGCTTTTTCAACAACCAGTTAAGCTTGTGACATTGACATTCAAAAACTTTATTAGGTAGCTAGATGACAACTGGGTTCACGATTTGCCTCTTTAACAAATGAGCTGACCCATCTTGGCCATGTTTGGGCTAATGGCTGAGAAGAATGTTGCTGTCTATTTGCATATTGCTTTGTTAACAACTTATTATTGATATTAGCTTCAATATCAAGTTTTTGAGCATTGGCCTAAAAGCTAAATCCAATAGTTGCTCTAGTTTTCAACTTTTGACCCCTATGTTTCGAGATCTCTCACTGTGATCAGTTCGTATATATACATAAAATCAGGTTTCTTTACTTTCTGAGATTTCTTATGGCGATATGTTTTTAGAACTGTAATGTAGAAGCTTGAATTTCGGAGACCAATGGGAGAAACAAAGCAGGGAGTATCGAATGATGTTTGTGTTACTCTAGGCTTTTTTCGCTCTTTGGTTAGTCTTCTGATGCAAAGTTTTCTGTTTGGCATTATGACAGGCTATTCCTCCTTGGACTGAAGAAATTTGGTAAGGGTGATTGGAGGAGCATCTCAAGGAACGTGGTGATCACAAGAACACCAACTCAAGTAGCTAGCCATGCTCAGAAATACTTTCTCCGACAAAACTCCGGGAAGAAAGAAAGGAAACGATCAAGCATTCACGACATCACTACAGTTGACAGCAACTCCGCCCCTATACCTTTCGACCCGAATTGGATATCCCCAGTCCCCAACCCAATCATTCAATCAAGTATGCAGCAGCAGCTAAGCCCCACAGGTCATTTGCAAGACCAAGGAGGTGCACTCCAAACTTACAGGTTCCCGATGTAGGGATCGACACAATATGGATAGAAACTACTTAAAACATTATTGCAATGTAAATACACCGACGAATGTGTAAAGGCGTTGGAACGTACCTGGGGAGGTTTGTTGTTTTGGTTGCCACAGTTTAGGGGAAGCTGATGATATGGAAGTTTGAACAGTAGTAGGATCCTGTTTATAAGTAAAATAGAAGAAAGCAAAAGGATTAGCAGTGTTAGTTACTTGGTTAATGTAAAAGAAAGAAGAAAGGTGTGGGGTTAGGAAAGGAAAACACAGGATATGAATAGAAATTTCTTTTGTTGGATTGTGAGTATTCCTGCAATCAATTTTGGTGCAGGATGCTTTCACTTTCATTCATGAGATGACTGTTTGTTTTATAAACATTATTCAGCAGATGACATCGTTTTAAGTCATTACTAAGTTGTTTTTATCTAAGAAATGTATTCTAATTTTTGAAAAAAGAAAAAAAGAAAAAAAGAAAAAAAGAAAAAAAGAAAAAAGAAAAAAAAAGAAAAAAAGAAAAAAAAAATATATATATATGAACAGAAACTATTTTTATAATTTGGTTGTTTTGGTCAGAAAAGGAGGAGCCTTTGATTGGGCCGCCGGTTTGGAGTTTCTATAATCCCAACATTTCATGCCTATCCAACTATTGGAGGATACTACCCTAAAATGGCTAAATATTAAAAAATATATATAAATATATATACTCCCATTAAATTTTATTACAAATTATTGAAGTTTAAAATTACCTTATTACCCTTCAACATTCTTTTAACGATCAGGATATTTTTTTTTAATATAATAGAGAATATTCTTAAATTTTTGAAAATTTAAAAGTATTAATTAGAAAAAACTCAAAATTTATAAATACATCCTATAATTTAGCCCCCACAAGAAATAGAACTTTTTTAAAATTAGTTCTAGAAAATATGTTTACATTTAAATGCAACATCCAAAAGAAAGCATTAAAATGTAATTCCATAAATATAAATTTAAAAAATTAAAGTTACATATTCATGTATTTTCCAAAACGGCTATCATATCAAACAGCCGTGAAGCATTGAATAACATTATTATTATATTATATCATATTACTACAACAAAATTTCATTAAAAAGGCACCAGTTCTCAAATTTGTCCACTCGCAAATGCCCAAGACGTTTTAGACCCCAGTTATTGATTAGGTGCACAATCCTGATCACACAAATGATATAGCCAACCAACCTAATTTGAAAACATCAGCCCAATGAAAATGAACCAAAAGAACCTGTTCCTCTTAGTTAATCCCATGATTAGTCTATTAGATTAGAAATTCTATCAAGTTTGTAGGTTAGTTAACCAACCCTGATTTCTCCGAACCATAAGGACCAAGTTTGTAGGTTAGTTAACCAACCCTAATTTCTCTCTATCTACTGGTTTCTTACTGGACACTTAGTAGTATTCTAATAGAACAACCACTCAATTTTCATTCGACCATCCAAGATAAACTTAAGTCTAGAGTCGGTTTGAAATGACTTTTCAAGGGCACTTGAAATGTAATTTCAAGTAGAGCCCAATCAGTCCTAAGAACTAAACAAAACAAATATCTACTGTTCATGATTTCTCCTGGGAGGGAGAAGGAAAAGGACAATCAAGGAACAAAGGATTTAGAGGGAGCAGGACCGAAAGGAAAAGGAAAAACAACTATAATGGCTTATTGAGAAAAAGGTGAAGGGATGTGGTCCAGAACAGCAAGTGCAGAACACTGCGTCTTAAAACTTATCAGATGACACGCACTCTTAGAGTGGGAGGACAATCAAAGACATGCAACATTGTTTAATATACAAAAAAAACGAAATCCAGATATAACAGTCGGTTACAGAAAAGCGGTGGTGGGGTGAGGAATCTCACATTTTATTCCTTGTGGCCAAACTCCAACGCAGATGTTCCCAGACTCGAAGAGGAGCCACCACCATCTACTGGGTCCCTTCACGTTTCTGCAAATGAGAAGCAAAGGATAAACACAATTTCTAAAATAAGAACAACAAAACTGGCATTCAAATATTTGATTGACAATGATGCAACTTTTCCCTTGGTGGATATTGACAATGATAAACACAATTATTTGTTTGACTAATCTTAGTAGTTACAGAAAAAAAGTAGCAAAAGTTTGTCATATTCTAGAAGTATAAAGTGATAATTAGAAACATGTTAAAAAAGGTGATTCAGCACACTGCACACCTGAAAAAAAGAAAGTTCACTACAATTTCCCTCCTGGACTTGTTAGTTTAAAGAACCCATTGAATTAATATAATTTACAGAAAGGGTCTTCGGGATGACAAAAACTCCAAACGTCCAAAAACAGCATCCTAGTTTGCACCTTTTATAGACAGAAGTAACATATCATAAACTGATCTCGAACTTGAGTGGCGCTAACAAGTTTCTACGAATAACAGGTGAAAGTAGCAGAAACGAAGATATGAGGACTAGGTAGCAGGCGTCCATTTAAAATGCCAAACAGCTATGAACGCGCGTAATTACCACAGAAACCACAATGATGCATTAGCTAAAGTCAACCATAATAGCTTCTTTATATATATACATGGTGTTCTATAATATTCATGACCATATTAGCTAAAGTCTGGGAACACTTGCACTAGATCTGGCTTCAAGGTGTTCCAAACTCCCCCGTCATTCCATCAGGTCCTAGGGACTTGAGACTGCCTATTTTCTGAAATGCTTTGAGAATCTCCTTCTAGCTGAAAGGTCTTTCTAATCTCGCCGTTCTTTGACTATCGATCAAAGTCCAATCAATCCCTTCAATAGTGAACTGAGGGCCTCTATCATCAGGATACAACTTTCTATAAAAGCCTAAAATATTCTCTTCAATCTCTGTTTCTGTAGATAAAAATCGTTCATGTTCAATTTCCAGAATGGATAAACAGGCTCTACTTTTCATAGCTGAAGCCCATCCGTGGAAGAAGGAAGCACTCTCATCCCCTTCATTCAACCATTTAATTTTGCATTTCTGACTCAAACATCTCTGCTCATTTAGTGTTAGCTCTAACACACTCTTCTTTTTGCTGCGTTTGGACGATCCCTTGTTCATCTAACATATCAATCTGATCAATTTGGTGAAGGATGTCATTTTTCTTATCAACCACGTTCCTGAACACTTCTTTGTTCTAAGATCTAATGGCGTGACTTCAGCCTCCACTTTTTCCATAATTTAAAAAAAAAAAAAAAAACACATAGGTTTCTTTATTATTTTATCAATTACTGAAACTTGGGCTCAATCCTCACATAGGTATAAGAAATCAAAATTTAACATCGAAGAAATAGCCCATGGAAACTACACAATCAAAGAGTTGTCAACTAACTATTAGGGATGATGGATCCCACAAAACCGTAAATATTTATATATAAAAGTTGCAACGATCACAAAATACGGTTAGTATAGCCTCTCTTACCACAGATCGACTAACAAATATTTGTCAGCAGCCAATTTTAATGAAAACAATGCCAGTAATGAATTACCTTCTCCGACTGTTCTTCCTTCTTCTCGGCCCTTTCTTTTTCTGCCTTAAGCCTTTGCTTCTCCAGTCTTTCTCTTTCCATTTTCTACACAAACATTAGAAAAACGATAACTACTAATTGGAGAACACAAAATCCTCGAGCAAGAAGAAAGTAGCAGCCAACATAAATAGTATCTTCAATCTCATCCCAGTCTATTTATATTTCAGTTTTGAACAAGCGAGCATTCGATGAGGCAGATTGATGATTGGACTCCTACTATAAATCGAATAAACACAAACTCCTCGCACGGTATGAAAATACCATCTCATATAAACAGTAAACATTCCCTAACTCCAGTCCATATTTATTTCAGTTTCTAACGAGTGAACGTTTGATCAAACAGATTGATTATCTAACTCCTACAACTAAATCGGAGAGCACAACTCCTCGCACAAAAAGAAAGTACAGAAGCAGTAACTTCGATCTCACTCAAGTCCATACAAGAATCCAACAACTGAACATTCAACAAAGAAGATCGATACTAGAATTACTACAACTTTTCAACTCATTTTTTCTCGAATATTCGAAACTAATAATTCAACCTGAATGTAGACGTTCTCAGCAGCACGCTCCTCCTCACTGAGAACTCGACCTTTTCCGTCTGAGAGGAATCGGAATCCACCGACGCCGGCGGCACGAACCGTGGACGGAGTCAGAGAGGAACGACCGAACACCGATCGCATGGCCATTTGCGTTCTGTGAAGTAAAATCTTCGAGAGAGTAACAGCAAGGTTTAATCGGTTCAGTATTGCGCGAACTAACACAAATAGAGGCTTTCACTATTTATAGCCGGTAGATAACTTCAAAGTCAAACGGTGGTCGGTCGGGCCAAACCGGGTTTATTTATCAAGTGACGTAATCCTATGAATTTCTGTTGAAAATATTTGGTAATAACTCAAAAGTTACCGTTTGATCTGTCCATTTTAACCATTTTTTCTTGGATTTATCAAACCACTCAAACAGACCGTTAAGCCCAGTTTGGAATTAGTTCTGAGTTCGGTCAAATTATTAGGAAATTTAACTGTTTTTTTATATTTGGTAACATTTATTATTTATTAATTTACAATAAATAAATTTATTTTTTATTTACAGTCTTTGAAAAATATTATTCTTCATCAAATTTAATTTGTTGCTTCTAATTAATTTTCTTATTTATTTAGTTAAACTAAAATTATATATATTTTTATTTAAATATGGTTTTTATTGTTAATTCATTAACCAACATGATTTATAATTTAAATTATATAAAATATTACACAATTATCTTAATACAAAATTTGAATTTAAATATTAATATTAAATTCATGTTTAATTGAATTTTTTTAATAGCTATTTCGCAACCATTTAATACTAAAAATTTAACGGAACTACAACTTTAATTCATAATTGATTTTATCCCAATGAATGTATGCGCGTATTTTAATATATTTTTTAATTCCTTTATTTTTTCACAACGCCTATAAATGAAGCCGGCCCCTCCGAAATTACAGATATATTTTAGCTGTAATTCTAACTTCACCTCTGAGAATATAGCCCGCGCGAAAGCCAGGGGACAACAAGACTGTCGCGAAGTTCCGGTCACGACCGTAAGGTCCGATCATGTATCACCCTACTAGAGGCGGCGTTCGTGGCGGTCGAGATCGTAAGCTACTTCTTTATCTTCCTCGATTTCACTTTGTTGATTGTTTCCCTTTTTTCGTTATTGATGAATTAGGCTTTCTCGGGATTAGATCAGCGGCTGTGAGTTCGAGAACCGTTGTGGATCTGAATCCGCCGTCTAGGGTTTTTTTTTTTTTTTTTTTTTTTTTTATAC